GTGCTTGTTTATAGCTGTTTATACCTATACCATGACGTGCATGTGGGCCGGAGATAAGGGGCCAGGGCCGAGGGGTGGAGACTTCATATCCATATGTGGATGCGTTGTTTTTGGATGTCTGAAGATAATTACCCATAGATATTCTTTTGCTTGATGAGGAAGAGTTCTCACGTCAGCGGGGATGACGCGTGTCTCTTAGATGGAAGCAACAGAAAAGCTGGAAGTGGGACAATGAGCAAACCTTAGACTCAGTGGGCTGTTAGGTGTGGATCCAGACCCAATCCGCCAGGGAATATATATAATGAGTATGCATGTATTCTGCAGCCTTGTAACTCATATGTGGTACACTATATGAAGTCAACTGTGTATAAAACTGTTCCTCGGTTCTCTTGCTATTGTTCGCAGAGAATATCTGCGGCAGGAGACCCTTCAGATGACAGACGGCCGCGATTCTCTAGTACTACAGTCAAGAGCTCCTCAGGTTGTCATCCGTCCAACTACGGAATAGATAGTATTCAGCTAGACCAGACAAGCCCTTGCGCTTGACGGCTTGATCCTCTTCACGTGGTGTATTCTGTGCCGACAGTGCAAGTGTACTCCGCCACAGTGACAGCCAGCTGCTGCTTGGATTTCTGGCTTTTGTCGTATGAGTGGACCGGTCTGCGACCTCGATCAAGTCCGTTAGGTGTTGAGGACAAAGACGCCGTGGGTAAAATACCGTCGAAATCAGCGAGGGTTTTCCTTGAGTCCCGACACAGACAAAGCAACCGGATTCTGAGGCCTTCGTTGGTCTCTTCGATCACTCCCGCGAGATGCTGCTCCGCATCAATACTTCGTATACATAGCGGGTTGCTGAAGGCGTATCCCTAACATACATTTAAGAGCAAGTCCGCGATACAGAGAGAAATATCCTGTTGACCATACTAAGCTCGCGACTTTGGCGGAAGAAGCTTCAACAACCTGCTCGCCGGGCAAGCATTCAGGCAGTCACAGGGGCGAATAATAATCGGGATAACCGCAAACGGAGGCCACTATCTCAGTTCTCAACCCCTGGGTCTGATCTATGTGCTCTGCTCCTAACCTTCGGAAGGCATGTTGATATTTCAGCGTAAAGTATTCTCTGGCTATCAGCTTACCTGTTCGGGGTCCCTCTACGGGAATCTGTTGAGGATATCCACTGATCCTTCTGCTCCATCCAAATAAAATATCACATCAAAGTAAGAAAACAAGCAAGTTCCCAATCACCAATATCATCAACGCTTAGATAACATGGATCCAGCCTTGTCTTAAAGATATAATCAATACTAAGCTTTATGGCCTTGCTATCTGGTAGTCAATTCACGTTTACAAACATGGCACCCTGGCACCCTCACTTAATTCGGCCGTGGAGCCACTGACCGAATACAAAGAAATACCATATTAATAAAATAATTATAATTATTAACTATCTAAAAGGTCTTAAACTAATTAATCTAATATTTGAGGAATAAATTAAGTGGGCCTAAGTAGCCCTCTTATAAGAACTGCAAGTATGGGGATGAAAGATACTATCTATATTAACTTTGAAATAATGATACCCATGCTTCTATGGCTACTGCGCAAGAAAGGGCATGGGTGAGCTGAGCTTAAGTGGCTGAATTGCATCAAGCTCTCCAAGTTCCAACTTCCAGGGACCGCAGATCACCATTTACAAACTATTAGGTTACGATCAACCAAATACGAAACTGCGCCACCTTTGAACTGACTCATTACTCGTAACTACGCCTCGACTCGACCATATATATAATCAATACTAGTATGTCCATGTATCTTTCTCTCTATTTCCGATCCTTATATCACACTGTATAAACCCTACTCCAACATGGCCAGGCATCCCTCCCGACAAATCCGCGCCAAATATACCTCCACTACCATCACCATCTACCAAGCCTACAGCCCCTCCATTGCAGACGCCGCAGTGGATGCCCAAAAATTTGTCCCTCCGTTCTCTCGCACACGCATGACCTGGATCAAACCTTCCTTTCTGTGGATGGCGTATCGATCCGGCTGGGCCAGGAAACCCAACCAGGAACGCGTCCTAGCCATCGAGATTACGCGGAAAGGCTTTGAGTGGGCGTTACAGCATTCCTGTCTGTCACATTGTCCTGGGCAAGACGCGGAGGAGAAGGCGAAGTGGCAGAAGCGGTTACAGAACAGTCCGGTGCGGGTGCAGTGGGATCCGGAGAGGGACTTTCAGTTTAGGCCGTTGGATTACCGGTCTATTCAGATTGGACTGAGTGCAGACGCAGCGGATAAGTACGTGGATGAGTGGATTGTTGGGATTGCGGATGTGACGGAGGCCATGAGGCAGATCGAGAAATGCCTGGCCGAGGGCAGGACGGAGGATGCGGCGAGGTTGATGCCTGCGGAAGAGGTGTATCCATTGTCCGAGGAGTTAAAAGACATTCTAGAGGCTACTTGATGAGCTAGGTGATGAGCGGCACCTCAGTACAATGAATTTATATCAGCTTGGTGGCCCTGTTTGTTTTGGTTAACTCAGGGAATGAAACTGAATCGTCGGTGCCCCGGGGATGGTTGAAACCGAGACAATGACTATAGCTTCAGAATGATACAGACATGAACCAAGAAAACCTCTGGTGCCAACTGAAAATTATTTAGCTACGGAGCAAACTCAGAATATATCGCCTCTCCAGTTACACGTGCTGCCATCTTGAACTAATGATATTGGGAGTGCGAACGCACTGGTGCCTTTTAGTACTAAAGAGATACCAAAGAGATACTTCACCTTTTATGCTCAAGCGTGGATAGACTCCCCGACTTACTCCCTGAACTAGGGGAGTTTTGGTTCGCAAAGGCCACTGAAAGGTCTGACGCCGGCCAATTCCTTAAACCTCTTCCAGTGGAGGACGTTGTGTCCCTTCTGAAACGAGGACCAAATCTCTTTTTCTTGGGCGTCTGGGGGAGCGAACACAACTCAGATGTATTGAACATCGATGCCCCAGCCAAGAGTTGGACGCAACATACTCAGCACTCTCCAATGAGGAGAGGGAATGGCGATGAAAGGAGAGACTATGTTTCTAGTGTAGGAAGCTAGGACATATATTAAGGGACTATAAATAACAACCCTAGAAGGGTAAGCAGAGTGGAAATAAATTAAATAGCTATATGCAATGAAAGAACTTAGTGCTATAATTAGTAGAGAGAGGTATAACACCACTAGCATCATCAAGCTAAAGAAGGTTGATGAATAACTTAAGAAAGCTATATAAAGAGTATATAAGCTTAAGTAACAAGGAAATTAAAATAGAGTTTAGACTATGGAATTAGACGAAGAACTATCTTTAGGTAAATTTCCCTGAATATATAACTCTACCTGAGCTTAGGATAGCCCTTAGAGAGGCCTGGGATGCTATTCCACCCAAATTTCTATAAGATCTACTGAAATCTATGCTTGAAAGGTGCCGTGTACTTATCAAGGCAGGTGGCGGTCATACTAACATCATTTACCCAATATACCATAGTAGTACGCCCTCGACCTATCTTTCTGGGTCACATAGGACATCAATATCAACATGTCAACGGCAATGGGACCAAAGTCCACCGCAGAGTAAGAGAGAAACTGCCGGGTTTCTCCAACTGCGGGGCGACTCCACAATGACGCATTATTCAGCATTATTAATTCTCACCGTCAATTGTACCTCGAAATATTTTTTAAGCTCTGGGGCTTCCTGAAGGACATCAAAAGATCGAGCTTTAGTCACCACGATGGCACCATCTATCAAGCAATGGAAGAGCAACCTGAAAGGCCTTGACAGCCTGCTGCAGGCCGAGGCCCCCATGCCCGCACCCGGACAAGGGGAAGTCCTCGTGGAAATCCATGCTGTTTCTTTGAATTATCGCGATACCGAAGGTGAGTAGCCTCGATTCAATGTACCGAGCTTCGAATATTTATTCTGGTCTTAGTCGTAATGGGCGAGTACACCCACCACAAAGCAACCCAGGGAGTCGAAACCGTCGTCGTCCCCTGCAGCGACATGAGCGGTGTGGTCACTCAGGTGGGCGAGGGCGTAACGGCTTGGAAAGCCGGCGATCGCGTCCTGTCGACCTTCCTCCCGGATCACCAGACCGGACAAGTGACCGAGAAGGAATTAGCACGCGGTCTGGGCTTGCCACTGGATGGTGTGTTGGCGACACATCGTGTGTTCGCCGAGCAGGCTCTGGTTCGGGCTCCCAGTTATATGACGCACGAGGAGGCTAGTACACTTCCCATTGCGAGTGTGACGGCGTGGATGTCTATTAATGGCATGCGGCCGATGGGACGGAATGGAGGAGAGGGCGAGTATGTCTTGTTGCTTGGGACGGGCGGGGTCTCGATTGCTGGTTTGCAGATTGCGAAGGCATCCGGCGCGAAAGGTTTGTCGTAATGCTTACGCACTTTTGGCATACGATTGACAATGTCAGTTATCATCACGTCTTCATCCGATGAGAAGCTGGAGCACGCGAAGAAGCTCGGAGCCGACTATACCATCAACTACCGCATGAACCCCAACTGGAACGAGGAAGTGATGCGGGTGACGAACAACCACGGCGCGGACATCATCCTCGAGACCGGCGGCTCGGAGACCCTGAGCAAGACCTTTGACTGTGTCGCCTTTGGTGGACTGATCGATTGCATCGGCTACACATCCGGGAAGCAGCAGAATCCGAACGACACTCTCAACATGAATGTGCTCACACTGCGCAAGAACCTGACGATCAAGGGTATTATCAACGGTCCCAAGGACCGCTTCGAGGAGATGGTGCAGTTCTACGAGAAGCACCAGATCCACCCTGTTGTCAATCGGGTATTCCCCTTCGAGGAGTCCAAGGAGGCGTTCAAGTTCCTGGTAAGCGGAGCGCATTTCGGAAAGGTCGTGATCAAGGTGAAGGACCAGTAGCCATTCAACGTATATCATGTACTATATCTCAAACTTTATCTAGAAAAAGACATGACATACCGGTCAATCACCCTGGCTAGGCTTGATCTCCCCCGACCCACTGACATCCTCCCCAAGCACAACCCCCCCGATCACTATCGGCTGAATGTCCTGCAATATAAAGACCATCCGCGACCACTCCACCTCACTCGGGTTCCTCCATGCATGCTTCGTTCCCCGCTGCACAGCAATATCCCCCGCCTTCAACATCCTCTTCTCCCCCGAATCCAGAATCATCTCAATCTCCCCCTGCAGGACAATCCCGTAGTCCAGGCTCTGCGTGCGATGCATGAACGGCTCTCCACCGGGCCCGAGGTCGACAAACCGACACACCGTCCCGCCAGGGTTCACCAGGCCCAGGGTATTCTTGTGCATGAGTTTCTCGTGGGTTTTGATGTCCGTCTCGTTGTTTAGGTTGGCGGGGAATTCGGAGGTCGTGTAGGCGACCCCCATGCCTAGCGCGCCGTCCTGGTAGGAGTCCCAGGTGACGGGCTGTTCCGAGTGGATGATGGCTTGGCCGGAGGGGTTGTGGGTGGTGATGTAGCGGGTTATTCCCGCAAGGGGGGAGATTTGGCCTGGGTTTGTAGACATCATGTTTGGAGACGGTGTTAAGAGTTTCCAGGGATGAGAAGATGGAATTGGATGAATGGGTGTAGAGAGTGGAAGAGATACTGGAAGGGGTACCGCCACATTTTATACGGACGACTCGGATCAGCAAGGTCTTCACAACCTTACAGATCTGAAGCGGTCTGGTTGGGCTGCAGGATTTCTGCAAGGATGACCCGGCCTGGCTCATTCTGTCTGTCTTAGTCTCAAACAGCCCAAGTGGCGTTTTGATTACACCTGCTGCAGTGTACTGCCAATCAATCATCCCACGATGATATGTTATCAGGCCTTTTTGGTGCCTTTCTTTGAGCATATTAGCAGCAGATACTATTTATTCTCAACAACATAATCAATGAGTGAGTATTCCCTAATACGAGGGGAATAGCGTCACAAACACCGCCTGCCACTCAGCTGAATGTCTAGGCAGCTCGCCAAGGTCATGGCCCTACTGAAGGATCTGAGGGGCAGCGGAGGCGCCCCTTCTACAATCTCTCGTCTGCTCGACGAGTTCATTCCATGTCATCCCAAGCCACCGAACAATCTCCTTGGCGCCTATCTCATCGGAAGGTTTTCGCGAGCGCGAAACCTGTTCCGGATCGGCGCCGGCAGAGAGGAGGAATCTTATGAACTCTGCATTTTCAATCGACGACTTCCGCGCCGCAAATTGAAGGGGCGAAACCGCTAATTTACCCTTCTGTCCATTGACATCAGCTCCGTATTGGAGGAGAGCTCTCCCGAGTGGAATAGAGCACGTTGTTCTTGCCACAACTCCTAAGGCATATGAAAGCTTAGCAGCCTTGAGCTTCTTAATCCCTCCGACGGATTCCCACAGCGAAAGTAACATGTTTTCTCTTTTCGCGATCCTGCAGGTGGCATTTATGACTGGCTCTTCAAAACAAACATCGGACATCCTTCGGTCCATATCGTCAGCGCGCGAGAGAGCCGCCATAAACTGCTCGCAGAGTCTCCACACGTCCTCAGAGTCGCTCTTTACGAAGGCAGCAGTAATAGACGCCGCCTCATCTCTATATTCCGGCATCTGATTCGAGCCGATAAGCCAATCAATAAATTTGACATTACCGGTCTTTATAGCTCCGTGATAAAACTGATCCACAGCCCTGTGCTTCGCCCCCTCCTCGCAGACCCGCGCGATCATCCGCGCCATTGGCAAAGACCCGAGTTCGCCTACTGTCTTGCCCAGGAGAGACGAAAATCGATAGAGATCGTCAACGCGCGGCAGGAGACGCTCGACCATCTCCACTTCATCCACTCTGACCAGATCGAGCACCAGTGCCTGCACCTCATCCTGTTCGATTGTGTCATCGGAGAGATCCCTCGGTGGTGTCTTGTCCTTATGAGCCTTTTCCAGGTGTTGATCTCTCATGCTGCGGGATAGAAATCCTATATTCTCATATTCGCACCCGGAGACGCTGCATTTCCAAGGGCGCGTATGCTCTTTATCATGTTTTGCTCGTTGCGCTATGGATTCGAAGCCATGCTGTTGAAAAGAACAGTTCAAGTAGCCACATTTGAACGGACGTTTGCCAAAGTTCCGCTTAATGGAATCGCAGTGGCAGCTTGGTTGATGATAACTGGAAGGACACAGCTGGGAGTCCAGCTCTCGGTATATCTTCGCCGATACACGGAATATAGACAGTGGATCAAACCTGTTCCATTCGTCCCCTATCACAGTCAGTCCTCTGCCTGAAGCTTTGAATTAGTGGTATACCTTCGTTGACATGATACCAAGTTTGTGAGCATCTCTCATGAAATTGAGCTATTCTAACAAGAAACTGATACAGATCCGGATACTCTGTTTTGATAGGCTGCAAGCACGCAGGTTTGAAAAAGGTATCGCGCTCTGCTGCAAAGTCCTCGTTGCTGCGTTTAACCATCAGCGTCCTTAGGCAGTGCACAAGCCCTAGTGGCAGTGGCTTGTTCTGTGTCAACTGCAAGTACTTTTTGACCAGCTCATACCAGCCATTTACTGCGAAATGATGCAGTCTATAGCTCCCATCTTGTAGGAGGCCGGTGAAGACATCATCATTGCTCAGAATATCGACATCGTAATGTGTTTGACTGAGGAAAGAGGTGCAGCAGATGGCAAGATCGAGGGTCGCATGGGTAAGACTGATATGTCCGTCTATGCCGGGACTAAACAAGTATCTGCTCTCGTTAGCCAGATACATTCCAGGCACACCTCACGATGCGTACTCCTTGACTGTGAAGTGTACAAACTGAATATATCCATCAATTATTTCGATAATGGGCCCGCAGAGTCGGTTAAGGTTTGGGCTGGCGAACACTTTCTTCTCCAATTCAAGGCTTCCAGGTTTGATCGTCAGTGCTTGCTCGATCTCCTGGACGGTTAGTGGTGTCGGCGAGCAACCCACCCAGGCCAGTATTCTTCTGGCCTTGTCGCGGGCCGATGGTGGTCGCAGTTTGTTGATTCGTACAAGCACTCGGGAATACCTGTAACAGGTCAGTTCATCGTCCAATCTTGATCCCAGACATCCCTACGCATCATCCAGATCTTCTGGCAGAATGCTCAAATCTTCACAAATTTCAGCCACATCGTCTATCAGCTCAATACTGCTCAAGACGATTTTGGCGTACAGGAACATCCCTAAGGAGTTGTGTGAGCCGCAAGATCGCGCCGAGAAAAGCATCTCCTACCTTTGGCTTTGGATGCAAGCGGTGCCAACGAGCGCTTTATTTCATCCTGAATTTGAGGAGGAAACCGTCTACTTTGGAAAATCTGCTTCAGCTGATAGTCGACAAAGACTTGGATGCTTTCCTCATTTCTCCCATCAACCCGAATCATTTCCGATCTGGCCTCGAGAATTGCCGTGATGTCCTCCTCCCGTCTACTGCTGATAAATATGCGGGTCTCATGGCATTCGTGAGACAGACGCAGAAGTTGCTTCAAGAGCACTCCGCGCTCAATCTCCTCGATCTCATCCAAACCATCAATAATGAGAAAGACCTGCCCGGCGCAATCCAGAACTGTCTTGAGTGTATCCACCGCCACGGTAATATTGCTTTTGATTTGTTCATTGGTTGAGTGACAGAGTACATCTTGGAGATCTTCGTGCTGAGAGGCCAGTTGAAACAGAAGCGAGTGCAGAACACCTAGGGCCGACGTAGTGCTGCTGAAGGTATGACTGAGAAAGACGAAGGCAGTATGACCGATGGTATACGCCTTGTCCACCACGGCACCAGCAAGAAACGTCTTTCCTAGACGTGGTCCCTGTTAATCATGGCCGAACGGAGACGAGGCTCACGAACCTGCACCCGGAATTCCTTGAAGCCAGACGACCTTTGCAGTGCCATTACTGACATCCAACCAATCCTTTACCGCATCATCTTGAAAGAACCAAGTTTCTGTACCTTCACAGACTCGGCTATGGTACCAGTTGAGTTTATCATCATACATCCTCGGACTCATGTCCGCTTTGATAGCGTAAAACTGCTGTAATCGGTGAGATTTCTCGGCATTCTTGAAATGCTCAAAAGCTTTCAAGCGAGTATCATGCTCTTCTCGGATATGCTCCAGCCTCACTTCGTTCCGCATGAGCAGAGCGTGCCGTTCAATGTGAGTCTTCACCAGACTAATGTGCTCCTTCTTCCGCGGCCACAAGGCCTCGAAAAAGTATTTCCACCCTGCCTCAAGCAAGATCATAGTCAGCTCGAGCACACACCAGACTTATGCAACATATCCTCCATACATACGCGGCATCGTGAAGAACTTCAAACCAATCTGATAAAAGTCTAGGATATCCTTGAAAAACAAAACCAGAACATCGTAGATCCTATCATTTCCCGAGAATAAGACGACAACTTCCTGAAACTCCGGCAACAACAATCCAATATCCGCTGTCGTGTTCACGATCGCATCAAACGACTGCGTCAGGGCACTACTCCACTGCAGCAGCAGCTTAATCGGACCCCATATCAATCCCATGATTTCTGGATATGCCTGCACAAAAGTATCAATGGCGCCAGTATATTCCCGGAGCCGGTTGAGGAAAGGCTCGATCTTGGCTAGATGGCGGAGGTGCCCTTTTCTGCCCTGATCTGCTTGAAGTTTATCGGTCAGGTCGTAGACCTCGTCGATGGATGTGACTGCGAGCAGCTTGGTGTAGAGCTCATCGTTGTTGAGATTAGTTTTGAATTCGTGCATGGCGGCCTGGAATGCGCTCTGGATGAGGGGCTGTGGTGCGGCCATACTGACCCTTCCACCTTTTCTTGCATTTATAGACTCTCGCTGTAGGGTGTATGACCTTAAGTGCTTTCTCTCATATATATAATCAAGAACGGGCAAGGCTGAAAAGTGTCGCTGAAGTGGCCGTACTTTGTGTCCTGATCCCTATGTGTCAGCCTCGTGCGTGCGGAGTCAGCCAACTGGATGGAACTAGTCTTACCAGGCCTGATAATGCATATCCATGAAGATTCCCTAATAATAACTATAAAAGCCCAGCGAGGGCTCAACATTATCTTAAATAGAACATTACAGAGAGCGTAGTGTCCCAGTTTCGGCCACTCATAGCATCAAAAGAGATAGCCGCCGGGGAGTCACAGATGAAACAAAAGCGCAGCTTTGCTCATTCATTCAGTCCAACCACAACTCGGACGTGGCGCCTTGGATTTTGGATGATTGACTCGAGGCGCTATCTCATGATGGCTGGTAAAAGTCCGATAGCCGCTCATTATTTGGTGAGGTGGAATTGATTCATGGGGATGTGAGCTTGATTGCTACTTGAAATATGCTAATAACCGACTATAAACAGCAGCAGGTGAGCTCTGGATATCCTCTATCCCAGTATGAATTAAATGTCAATGTAACCTGTCCTGGACAACCGTAACCGCAGATAAATTCCATATCATTCCAAGACGAAGTGTTCGACAATTCGTATAAGATCGCTGAATGAGTATGCGCGCTGACCCCTGAGGTTGTGACAAACTGACAACTGACAATGTCATTTTACTACCAGTATATGTAGGACTGCTCATGACAGGTGCCACTGATTATTATGACCACTCACTGCTCATATATAGTTCGGAGTAGGCGTACTCGGGTATGCAATGGGGCTCTTATGACCCAAAATCATTGATTCTCAAAGAAGGTGGCCTCGAATATTCCACTACTTTCTTCACTTCATGGGGAGGGACCCCTTGACCCAGGGGGTGCGCTTTGATTGCCGTAGGGAACGAATAGACGCGCGTAGACCTTGTCCAGGAACGCACATAGAACGCAGCAACAATGGACGTCACGAGTAATGTGTTGAAATGACTTTCGAGCTCGATTCAATAGCTGCATCTTCACGGTGGAGAGCGGCCGCTCGGCACCAACCTCGTAGCTTGAAAGAAGAGCATTCAGCCCCATTCCGGGATCCCGATTCAACCAACATAGCTTTTCATCGAAGTCGAGAAATGAAGCTTCTGGACTTTTGATCGGTACGAGGAATGTTGGCATTGTGATAGGGTTTCGTCAGGCCCTCCACATTCGCCGGCAGGCATCTTGTGGCAAATCCAAAAGTTGCTTGACGGATCTAAGGCGAAGGAGCTTAACGGGACTTCCTGGTTGTCAGTCACAGCCTCACTTGCTTAGTGAGCGCCACCAAGGTCATGTTGCTTCGGTGACTTGCCCGGCTTCCACGTTCAGCGAGTCTTCCCCTCGGATACTGCGCCACCATTCACTCTGCCGAACGAGTTCTCCTTCTCCACCACCTAGCAACCTCCAATATTTCTTGATAAACCAATCTCTTGCTTCCCAGCTGCGGACGTCCCACGGTGTACCTGTCGAAGCATAACCGGTGGAGGTATTTCGGTCCCTCTTCCCAACCCCCGCACCGCCCCAGCACACTAGACCGGTCAACATGTCATGGAAGAACTCATCCTCATCGAACTCATCCTGGTATTTGATAAGGTTCCTACGCAGCGTCGGAAATGGTAGAATATCGATGAAGGGATGATGCCTGACGGTGATTTGTTCCTTGGTGGGCCTCAAATCCGGTTTCAGGGTCGTGAATATTCTCTGCACGGCGTAAATCATGTCGTTCTTGGCTGTATCATCCGCCGCGTCCATGGTGAACCGGAAGAACGGAGAGAGAGAGTCGTCGGCACAGATCAGCTCCTCGGTAATGCCAACATGCGTCCCAATAGCGTGCAGTGCAGATATAGTGCAGACAGTTTCGATGCGAAGCTGGTTGGCGCATGGATCTGCGGCGGGTGTACCTAGTCCAATTGAGAGGATTTTGATATCACCATAGCAAGAAGGGTCAGGGCCCTGCGTCCGTATCTGGATATGTGGCGTGGAGCAGCCGCAACTGACGGTGGCCGTCCAGTATGAACAATGGCTGTCGCTCTTTATGTCGCAGATGAGAAGAGAAGGATCGACAAAATTTGTAGAGTCCCAGACGCGCAGCCATGAATGAGCGTCGTTTGATTGCGGATATGTTGTTGGATCCCACGGGGACAATGCCGACAGGCTGTTTTCTAACTCCTGAGGAAATTGGCTTTCCTCTGGGATTACTGCCGATGAACTTGAAACAGATATACCTGAGGTACCATATGCTGAGAGGTTTATTGTACTGAAGTCCGACGGCGCGCAGGATGAGCTATCCCCGGTGGCACCTTCAGACGGGCGTGTACCCGCAGCTGGTGTACCTTCAGTCGAACAGGCTTGAGCGGCAGATGCTGCAATGGCTTCAAGTTGGTCCAAGCGCTTACGCAGCTTTTCTCCTAACAAATGATGAGTATCCTTGCCACTGTCAGATAAGAGTGCCTTACGGTATTTACGTTGCGCTTGGACATTCTGTTGCCGTCTCTTCTCTGGGTCGCGGCGGACAGGTTTTCGTTTCTCTTTCCTCTCGCTCGTTCCCCGGTGGAGAACTCCTCCATTTTCCGATGGCATTTTGTATTTTGATGAATTACAGCGATGATACTGATGAATGAAAGTTGCGCGAATCGTGAGAGAAGACGGGAGGGGACATAGTAAAGAACACGAGACGAGGCCAGAATAAGCTGCTGGTTGACGTCGGCCACTTACCTTACTCCATTGGATACATTGACACCTCAGGCACCACCATTGCTTCGACACTGATCGGTTTGGACCTGTCAACCATATACTGGCCACTAAGTACCTGATACATATGGATCGTATCCTACCGTATCCATCAGTAGATAGATGGTCGGTAATCAGGAGATTAGGTACCAATCCTCCAAATTCTGGTTTGACTATCATATCCTGGGTTCTCCCATTGTTCCACCTCCGATAGACAGTCGCCAGAAACAGACCTTCATACTTTTTCATTCCGGTATTGCCTTCACCATACAAATAAGATTAGCGCGAGGCCATTCGCAGGATTTATCTCAGAATCTCGAACGACATACTGGCCGATCTGGCTATCCCCGATACCATGTTTGCAAAGATAGTTCTCGTACTGGATAAACCAGACGATTGGCGGGATTGGTGGGTATATATGAAAGATCTCGCTCTGCATAGAAATATCTGGAAATATACTGATCCAGACGATGAGACGATTACCAAAGAGAAACCGGTAGAACCGACCCTACCGGTTCCAGCGAAGGCTTCTATAGATATGGACGAAACCGAGCAATTCGTTTGGCAGCTAGAATCCGAGCATGTGATAGACTGGAGCGCACAAGGAGCACGACGGCCCGACAGCTGTCTGGATTGCTATCTAGACCACCGCTGGCCAGAACACCGTTTTGTCTTTAGGCGGTACGCCTCAGAGAGGCAACTGCTAATCAAACTGCGAGATCGAATCGCAGCACTGGAGAGTTGGTGAATTGTCTAATTACCGGCCTCTTACAGAAGTGGCTGTAGCGGCCAGGATGATTGACAGGTCACTATGTATTGTTCCATGACATGGCTACTTATATAGCTACTTACATAGATGTTGTCTACTCCTTCCACTCATCTCTGCCTAACCTGACAATATCAGCCATTTCCACCACCCAGTACTTTGACGGAGCTTTCCCCTCGTCAGCCATACGGGCAGCTGCTACGGCTGCTCTAGCAATGACAGTCTGATCTTGACCTACACATCACGCGTCAGTTCCGGTATATCAAACACTCAAGCAGCGATCAGGCTAATCATACCTAAGCTATCCTGGATACCCTGTCCCAGCTTATTCAGACCTCCCACGATATTTTCCAAGAGCGCAGATTTGGGATTCTCCCTCCCGATAATCATACCAGGCCGCAGGATAATAGCATGCTCAAAGTCAAGATCCTTGATGGCATCTTCAACGCCAATCTTCATCTTCGAAAAGGGCAGGTAGCGGGCAACAAAGCCTCTAATGCCTGCACCCGAAATGAACACGTACGTCTTGACTCCCGCCTCCTTTGCTGCCCGGGCGTTCTCGATGCACAAGTCGTGGTCGATCTTCCACTGATTCTGGAGTCCACCGGCTGCCGCTCTTGTGGTGCCGACTGCGTTGAAGACGACTGATGGCTTGGGTGAGAAGGAGGAGATCATGCCACCCCATTTGGAAGAGTCGCCTTCTTCGATGGCTTCGAGCTTGGGCGACTGAACATTTGGAAGTCTCCTTGAGATTGTTTTGACGGACGGGAATGTGTCTATGGCGAGGAGGGTAGCGAGAATCTGAGATCCCACTGCTCCTGTACAGCCAAAGACCGCTGCTGTCGTCATGGTCATATTCCTATCTTATATTGGTTTCTTTGGGTCCTTTCTATTTTGAGAGAGATATTTAGAAATGAGAAGAAAAAAGCGGAGACTACGGAAAGAAGAATGACTTGGATAGCAGACGGGATAAGTTGATAAGAATACTCAAGGCGATTCTAGGCCACAGCGCGCTGATGCTTCACGTGATTGATTACCAGTGGCAGCAACTAACATACACCACTATGATTGAGCATTAGCTACTATTTTTGCTTACCATGAGTCTTTGAAAGGATATGGTTGGATTAGAGCTATTCATCCCTGGCTTATAATGCTTAGTGTATCACTGTGAACGTAATCACTGCATAAAGAAGCAGGCTCCCCACCAGGCTAAGCACTGAGATCCAGCACTAAACCTCACCACGCCTCTGCTCAGCATGTGAGTCGTATATCCTTGCCCGCTAGTGGCAGCCAGGATCAAGCCCGCTGCTTCCCAATATATTAATGTCTCATCTCCCAGAGGATTAGCGCCTGCCACCTCCGCCTTTACACTCCCCAAATACCTTTCCAGTATTCCTGCGTGAGTTTCAAAAGTATAAAACCCCATTCTCTCTAGGCTAACTATACCGTTCTATAAGATCATCGCCTGATCTAACTTCGATATGAAACCCCTCACCTACCTCTCCCTCCTCCTCAGCATCTCTGCAACCACTACCCTCGCCGCTCTCCGCCCAGACGCAACCCCCGATGAGGTCGCCGCGGCGAAAGCTGAGTGCGGGTCCCTGGGTGTGATGAGGATTGACCCAGCAGAGCTGCCTGAGGGTGTTATGATGTCTGACGTCCGCATGTGCGCTGACCATCCCCTCGGCCCTAGGGCGTACCCAGGTCTGGGTCCTGGGGCTTTCGCCAGGTTCCGTCGGTTCTTGCCAAGTTGGGCGTTTTAAGAGGATGGCCCAGGAGCTGGGTCAAGGCCTTATAGGTGGTCTAGCACGCAGGCTTCTGCTCATAAGTGGGCTAATTTTTCATACCTGGTCTGGTCGCATACACTGTGTGGTGGGAGCAGCTGTTTAGGAATGGAACTCTTGGAAATGTATGGTGTTGTTTAATGTTGATTTTGGGAACAAGCTTGATTGATATAGTCTAGCTGGAGGATAATATTCTGATATGACAATGTATAAAATTCAATGATAATGACATTCTAGTAGTTTTTGTTAAGTAGTAGATTAACTATTCTATATCAGCCTAGTAATCACTCGCCCGCGTAGTATATATAGAAGGGTTGGTCTGCTGTTCCAGGGAACAGACATTTAACTATTCATCCATAAGGAAGTGAGAGAGCTAGACATTTCCATTTCATGGTGCATTGCAGCTACTCCTCCTTGTCCTCATCTTTGCTGCTGGGCCTTGGATAGAAGCTGTACAGGATCTTGGAACGTCCACCAAACTGATGGGTGGGCGAGAGGCTATTTCAGATGGCGTACATTGCCACAGTAGGAACAGGAAGCTGACTGTTGACAAATTGCCAGATTTGCCAGGTAGCTTGGTGTCAGTTTCTGGTTGCAGAGAAGCTTCCAAACTCCCAGTCACCTGAAAATGTTCATACAGGCCTTGACCTTCATGTGATTTATATCATAATACAGGTATTAGATATTTTTAACGGGATATCATTATCCCTGAGCCTTACCTAATATAGGTTATTTCATGTACAATGGGGTACAGAAGGCAGTTCAAGAGTACGAGACCTGGGCGCCATTTTTGCAATCAAGTGTACTTAAGATCTTCTATGCTGACCTTTCCACTGCTTTTCTTGTAAAACATCAAAATACACAACATCACAACCCTATTTATATACACTAAAGACCGACTACAGCAAAAACCTGCTTTATAAACTTATCTCTTTACTGATCGTGAGAAGCAGGACAGCTTGAATGACTCTGGCTTCATTGATTCAAGGAAAGAAGAACCACTCTTGACATACAGTCAGTTATCAGCCGCGCTGAACATGTCCTGTGAGGACTTCAGCAGGAGCACGACAGATGATGACAATGAGACGCAGGAAGCCGAGTTCCATTGAAGCAAAGCAACACACTTCTGGACTCCGACTACCGGTCATTGTCCTCACCCGTCCCCGGTTGCACAGCTCGACTTCAAAGTCCGCCGATGTCTCCTGCTACGACCATTTTATAACACATATTCATAGAACGAGCAGATAATATCAATGTATAATGTTATTGTCATCTATGACATATATCGTATACGTTACTTGGGTTGCTTTCCTTTATCGACTAGCTATGAGCTGCAACAATATAGTGAGCCACTCGACTACCTTTTCGCTGATCTGCTTGACAGAATTCCAGTCTATAGCTAGTATCAAACTACCTTCTTTATTGTAGTTACGTCCTAGCTACGAGGTGACTCACTCCCCGACAAATCAATGCCCTATTCGGTATCGGGGAGGGAGCAATATACGAGGTGACTCACCCTTTGTGGTTCCACCCATAAGTACAGCAACCCTGTAATCTGATTAACTCGCTAGGCAAAAAGGGATTGAGTCAGATGTCTAGGGCTGGGCAACTCAACACCGTCTAACTATACGAGGGCGCGGCTGTAATCTATGACTACAGAATCATGGCAGGGGTACATCCTACTGTAGTAAGACAAGCTATGTATTTTTGGAATGGCTAGAGAAATTGAGCAACACAGTGTGAACTATGTAAGTTTAATATATTATAGAGTATCCTACTACAGCTATATAAACCCGGCAAAAGCCCATCATGGGCACAACAGACAAGGACAACAACCTCAATGTCAACCATTCCCGATATTTGTAGATCAGGTATGATACTCCCATTTCTTCCAGTTCCCTAGAAGTTTCGTTTCAATGATGAGTATACCTTTCACTCGCCGAAATGAAGACATCCTTTTGCTTAAGTTGGATGTCTTTGTGATTATAATTGAGGTTTCTGAGGTTTCCATACATGCTACTTTGATAGTTCATTATGTTATTGGGTCATTTTACTGACGAATAAATGTTGCACAAATAGCAGAGGGAGCCCATCATTCTGATGGTAAAGACCTTATAACATCATGGAAGGCGACAGACTCAATGCGCAAGTCGATACCATTCGAGAGACAGGCACCGGTGGAAATATCCAGGTAGGGCTCCTTTCATATTGATAAAGAATCACTGTGTGAAAAGTGAGGTAAGTAGAAAATCGCTGAATTTATACGCAGCATGCAAACCAACTGCAGCACCGCACCCATTGCCGCTCTACTCTGTACACTGACTAACTGTTACTTTGCGCGTTGGCTACAGACATTGAGAATACCACGGATTCGCCGATGAGCATGTCGAGCCACTCGCACAAGCGGTAGGCCCCGTCCAGCCACTCCCACCACACTGACCCCATTTGGATTGCGTAGCCCCAGCAGTTGGAACAGTGGTGGCACTCGGCTGCGAAGCTGTAGTCGTGCTCGTGCCCGACGACGGAGCGCCGCTTTCCATCTCAAAAGAGCTAACCAGCACACTTCCACCCAGCGACACAGTAGCATAGTTGAAAATGCCGTACCGATAGCCCATGAAGAACTGCCAGGTATTGTTTAGCGTGTACGGTGTTCCAATCGAGTGGAAGCTGGAGCCATCGGTACTGTAGTAGAACGACGCCGTCCTGCCGCTGCCGGGCTGGATGTTGGCGTATGCGCGCAGCCAAATCTTGGACGGGCTTCCGGAGAGATTGACGCCAGCGACCTCAGAGCCTGTTGAGAGGGTGTTCCAGTTGGCGTCCATTGTGAGTCCAGCAACCATGCTTACGCGAAAGATGCCGCTGTTGTTGATGACGGCGACGTATGCGGAAGAGTCGCGGAGCATGGCGAGGCCGCTCCGGTCTCCGGGTTTTATGTTGCTGATTGTCAGTTCGATTGTTGCGGCCGAGTCTGGGCCTAGGATGCGGTGCGTTAGGGTGTTTCGGGCTGCGTAGAGGTTGGTGGTCACGGTGGCGGTCTTTAGAGTCAGGCCGTTGTTTACGCTGTAGTGGCTGGTGTCTGGGTTGTGGTTCCACTCCCATTGAGGGCCCAACGTAGTGCCCTGGAATGTGTCTTTTCCTGTAGGGGGGGACAGGGGACGTGGGGTCAAAGGATATGGGTACTGAGCTCCCCAGCCCCCGTTCACTGTAGTGATTACCGGGAATCCGTCAGAGCCCCAAGTAATTGGAGCGAGGACTGGGACTCTACCTCCTGGGTAGCTGTCGACAAAGGCCATGTAATACCAGTTTCCTGCGGGGGTATCGACGATGCCGCCCTATATTCCGTTAGTTCAGTGGTCTCTTGACTATAGCAGGCTGCATACCTGATGGGGCACACCACCTCCGGTAATAGGAGTTGCGATGTCCTTCAAGAGTAATTTCTGTGTATATGGGCCCCATGGGCTGCTTGCCTTGAGGACATATTCGGCGTTGGCGGGGAGCGTGTTGAAAATGTAGTATTCGCCATTGACTTTATAGAACCGCGAGCCCTCAATGGCTCCGATAGTGGATTTGAACACTTGTTGCGATTTGGTCTGGCTGAGCCCGTTGGAGGAAAGCTGGGCTACGGAAATGGTAGTGCCTCCGTACGCCACGTACATTGTATCGTCATCATCGATGAGCAAGCTGCAATCGTAGTAGCAGGTGTTGATAACTCCACTCTTAGTCCACGGGCCTGTCACCGAAGGGGCAGTGTAGATATATGTAGTGCTAAATTGGATGCATCCAATCCAGTACCACAAGCCGTTGCTCTTACGATATCTAAGAGTCGAAGCCCAGATACCTTTGACGTAGGCCTGTCCCCCATCGAGGTTGTAGATCGAGCCCCAGTCCAATGTTGGCACAGAATGTCCGACGAATTCCCAGTTGACGAGATCGTACGACTGCAGAATAGGAGCACCGGGAGAGTAATGCATTGTCGATGCGGAATAGTAGAAAGTGTCATTAACTCGGAAAATGTCGAGATCGGCCAAGTCCTCCCACAAGACCGGCTGATTGAAATTCGCGCCTAATGCGGCGGCCATGAAGAAAAATGCGCGTACGATTCCTCTCATTTTGCAACTGAATTTGAGCCTGAGATTGGATCTTGCAAGTCAAATCCTAAGTCCGCTGCCACATTTATAGATCGTCTGCAGCGTCTTCTGACAAGCCAAGGGTCTCGGTTCACTCCATTTGCAAAACAACCTCTATTTACCGAGATCCCTGTTATTAGCGATGCATGCTAGACATTCTGAGCGTCGTGTTGTTCGATGATCAGCGGTGTCGATCGCATGCGTGGCCGGGAGCGTTGACGGAGCTAAAGGATATGGCGCGCGAGATGCAGGACCATTGGAACGGACTATGCATCAGCTCAGCAATAGTAGGCCATAGCAGCAAATGATCACCCGATGAAGAAGTTTCGGCTGAGATTCCAACCCATTGCCAAAAATGTGGAGTCTCCGACACTGACGGACCGTTCTCCCGAGTAGCCAGCATCAATGATTATCGTCTCGCCCTCCAGACCTTTAATATGCAGACAAACATTGCAACGTAGAGGATGGTCTACCATTCTAGCCGAGTCATCTCGGCTTCATCTATTGAATACACTAAGTAATGTCAGGGCCCCTCATTTTGGAGTCTCGGGAAAGGAAGGGCCCACAGGTGCGAGGGTTCCAATTGTCTCCCTTAAGTTGTAGCAGTTGTAGCAGGAGACTGACATCTTCAGTGCAATGTAACTTCCCCTCTGTATTGACTGCAATCTTTGTCTGCTTGGACGCTGACTCCGGATAGAGATGAGAAAGGGCAAAACTCCGCTTCAATCCTAACTGGTGAATCCCAGAGCATACGGGATTGCGCAACTACCACAGCCCTAGTTTTCTTGTGCAAAGGGCACATGCATCAGTGCTGAGAGATGCAGACGGGTTAGCGAGGTTGACCCAAGCACTTAGTTAATAGACCCTCTTCCAGGAGGAATCAGAGTACCCCGCAAAATGCTGGGCCCTGCGCATGCTTAGCGGAGTATACCTCAAATGCCGCTCGGATGGACCATTCAGATTGAGATATTCGTGACAAGGCTGCTCTTGCATATTATGCGGGGACCCCAGGGGCAAATCATTGCTGAGGATCATGGTGGCGCGTTGATTTTAGCCAAAAGACGCCTCACGTCCGGTACGACTATCGGCTAATATCCAGTCTCTGCAGCATCCCAAAAGTACCCAAACAGGGCACTTAAATTTATTGTGGCTCAAAGCGTTGCATTGATTTAGCGATTCTCCGGTGGAGTGCATCATGATGCCTCATGTTGTCGGCACCTGTTGATCGTCGCCTATGCCGAAGGCGCCTTTTGGTGCTTTAAAACGGGCCATCACGTCGAGAGTTCATACGCATCTGGAAGTATCATTCATAAAGCAAAATCTCAAGCTGATCAGAATATCTACTGTATTGATAGGACATCAGAATGAAAGCTATAGGGGCTACACTCCTTGGACTGGCACTGGCCGTCCAGGCTCAGCAACCGCTCTATGCCCAATGTACGTCATATCCTATCCTTCTGAAGACATGGATTATCACTAACGTAACATGAGGCGGTGGGAATGGCTGGACGGGCTCGACTCAATGTGTTGCTGGTGCATGCTGCAGTTCTATAAACGCCTGGTACTACCAATGTCTGTCTGGCAACTGCATGCCCAGCACGACTATGACGACCACCGCTACACGCACAACCTCGACAAGCACATCGGGCCCTACAGGAAGCTTGCCCCCCAGTTTCAAATGGAGCTCGACTAATGCGCTGGTTGGTCCTAAAAACGACGGCCGCAACCTTGCGGGAATCAAGGACCCCTCTATCATAGAGGTTGACGGCACATACCATGTTTTCGCCAGCACTGCTCAAGCGTCAGGCTATAATCTGGTGTACTTCAATTTCACCGACTTCAACCAAGCGGGGAATGCACCCTTCTTCTATCTTGACCAGAGTGGGATTGGGACAGGCTACCGCGCTGCACCTCAGGTCTTCTACTTCCAGCCGCAGCAGCTGTGGTACCTGATCTTCCAGAATGGAAATGCTGCCTACTCTACCAACAAGGACATTAGCAATCCTGCTGGGTGGAGCGCTCCTAAGAACTTCTTTAGCAGCGTTCCTAGTATCATCACTCAGAACATCGGGAATGGTTACTGGGTGGATATGTGGGTTATCTGTGACTCATCCAATTGCTACCTCTTCTCTTCCGATGATAATGGCCACCTCTACCGCTCTCAGACCACTCTGAGCAACTTCCCCAACGGCATGGGCAACACGGTCATTGCACTCTCTGACTCAAATCCCAACAATCTCTTCGAAGCTTCCAATGTGTACCGCGTCGGAAACGAGTACCTTCTCATCGTGGAAGCCATCGGGAGCGATGGAAATCGGTACTTCCGGTCATGGACGGCACCCTCTCTCACGGGTACATGGACTGGACTTGCGAACACTGAAGCCAATCCATTCGCCCGTTGGAATAATGTGGTTTTCTCTGGGACTGCCTGGACCAAGAGCATCAGCCATGGCGAGATGGTGCGCTCTCAGGTGGACCAGACTATGACTATCAGCCCGTGCAAGCTCCGCTACCTCTACCAAGGTCTGAGTCCTACGGCAACGGGTGACTATAACTCTCTTCCGTGGAAGCTGGCCCTTCTCACACAGACCAATTCTGCATGTTAGTTGCGCCCAGCGATAGTTACTTGGCCGTACTCCGGCACTGAACTGTGTCATATTGCGCAATGACAATTTATGTAGTTATCGCGGGTTACCAAAGTGCCAGGCAATTGGAGTGAGATCGCGAGACTGTCTTTGGATAGTTGTCTAAGTGCATACTCGGCTGGCTTTCCTGTGACACTGGACTTCAGATGCGCTACAAGGAACAGCATTCAGAATAGCATTGAGAGAAATAACTTTTGCGCAAAAACATAGGTACTTGTGGTCTTGTGGATGATATCAAATAAGCGTCGGTAGACATCCAACTTCAATGTCTACATTGGTCAACCCACGTAAAATCCTCCGCTGAAGGACAAACCAGCCATGCGACCTGATCTATTACCCTTCAATGTTCTCCCTTAACGGTCTTACCCTCTCCTGATGCTGATACTCGGTGTTGCTTCTCAAGCCGCTTCCTTGGGTAATGGGTGTATCCCATCAACGCGACAATCCCAAGAACAACGCGTAGATGAGGTGGTTGACCCTCAGGCCGCAAACTGGCTGCTCATTCCACAGACCACATACCTGATACGCCACCACGTCCATATTTTCCTGGCTATCTCCTTGGCTAGGATCATCTTGACACAATATTTCAAGACAGTAGAAGAGAGATATCAGCGTTGGAAGCATCACGTATCTTCCGGAGAAGCAGGTAGGTGGCGGTTGTGTCGAACGCCCTGTATAGTGCACTTGCCATTTCATTGGCCCTGTTTCGCTGACAAATACGGCGTAAGATATTATTTCTATCCCAGCTCACTTTCAATTCTAGCCCTTCGGTCCAATACTGTATCGAAGAATGGGGAGATTTCTGAAGTTCCAATGGTAGTTGAGGTGAGGGGTGAAGAGTCTCTGACAAGTAAGGTACGATCTCGGGCTCCAGTTGCTCGCGGTTCAAATTGACGATTGCTGGCGGAAAAAGATCCCGGGCATCTTCGGGCAAGTGGTCCTTGTGGTGGACTAGAAATCTGGTGATCTGCTCCTGTCAGCTACGGACTAGCTGTGAAGTATGGGTAATTACGTCTCGAAGCCGTTTGCATAGGGTCGAATCATCATTCATTGTGCGGACTGCCAGCGCTGAAGATGTTTGGACAAGCGCATTCATCGTTGCTGGGGTAAGAGGCTTGGGGAGCTTCAGTTCAACTGGAATAAGGATGACACGAAGTCGAGCACCCGCAAGCTAAAATTATTGATACAATGCCCAGATCTGAGATAATAATGAATCCACTTGAGAAGGAAAAGGAGAAGTTTGAAAGTAGTGATTACAACCCACTATTCTCTCGGACCAGGCTACATGCCAGATGGTAAAGTGCGATGTTAGAGTTCCCACTTATGGCGATATGACCGGCTTCTGTTAAAGTTCGACGCTGTCAACATTGTTGATTCTTTTGCACGGTCTGGTCTCGTTGCAGATCGTTAAGCTCCTTCAGATATCACTTATTAGCCACTGACTAGTCCACCCAAATCTAGGCCCAGGCTCGCTGCGGCGAAGGAAGCTAGGGACATACTGCAAAATCGACGCGATCCCCAAGGTGGTGGTATGCGAGCGGATCGACGAGTCCTGGGCGTTCACACATGGGCTATCGCGTTTTACAGTGTGCATGCTGCAGGTCAGCTTTGCTAGCGTGCAGCCCCACTGAAGTTCCAGATTTCGGTCCTCGTACTAGTGAACACATTTTGCTGAGCTGCTCTATACTCAGGAGATCGACCAAATTACTGCCGCATATCCATTAGATTGACCCCACCTCGATAAGATGAACACTTCGTTGCACCATACTGTCAATGCTAGATGGCCGGAGATGCATTACGGCCTGCAGTGACGTGTAAGTGAGCTTTTCTAATTTGTCCCTCTCCAAAAAGCAGAAGCATTCGACATTTCTCCTTGCATATATGAAGATATCTAGCCTCATCTCAGTTACACGGCGCATACCACCATAGACCTACTCCAGGGCATGGCTTGGAAAGAGTTCTGGACTCGTCTAGCTTACTTCATCGCACGCACTGTACGCGAGCCTCGCCGGAGTGTCCGAGATCGTGAGGTCTCATACCCCACCCCCCACCCCCCCGTTCCATTGATCCGTCTCGACATCCTCGGTCAAACTGAGCAGCTCTAATCGAACGGCTGGCAATCCCCGTCAAGGTGGCAAGAGGATGGAAAGAGATCGGCAGGGAAATTGTGTTCTAAATAGCTGGCTGGCTTGTGGCACTAAGAAGTGGAGACTGGCAACCTACATTGTCCAATGAGTCTCGGGGTTTTGGACGGCAGAAGAAGAGAATCGGAAGTGAAGACCATGCATCTTGAGGATGTATGGGCTCTACAGTTTGTATGTGATTTCTGGTGATTAGGTTGGAATCCTCTATAACTCCGCTGGTGCGGGACTCTTCACGAGGATTCCTTGACGCACACCGCCTGCGGGCTGCGGCGGGGCTAAGTTACGGGCCGAAGCGCCTTATCTCGGAGGCTAGACAAAGTCCTAAGCGCTCACAGCCACCTATCGCCGAGCCCAACGCCTTGACTGCCTTTTTACAACTATAGAACATTTGCTGCAGCCGGCGGCGTACGTTATCCGGGATGTGGTTAGCGGTTTGCTTCGGATCATATGGTGGATGAGCTCGAGTGGTGGTTGGGCTTTAGGTCCGGTCCCTTGATGCTTTAACCTGCTTTCACCGGCTTCATCTCATCGCGGGTACGTTCTTTGGATTGGAAAGACTTAAACCACAAGATACCTAGGGAGGATACGAAGTCCTTGGTCAGAAAACCAAGTTGCTCACAGCCTTACTGATCACCCCTTTATCCCGGCGGCTAATGCAGATATTTGGTGGTAAAGATTATGTCACGGGACCGGCCGTGAGGCTGAAGGTAATCAATTCGAGTTGTCAGGCCTCTCTGTTTTACCTCTACTTCAGTGACAACTGTCTACCCATCTGAGATACCAAGGTGGACCAACTCTTTGTCTGAAACTGTCAGATTCATGACTACCAACTTGTCCAGATGCGGCCATCCAGTCGGGACGAATTTTCGATCGCGATCATCTGCGCGCTGACTCTCGAAGCAGAGGTTGTTGAAGAACTCTTCGATGAAATTTACGACAGGTTGAGCGGATACTATAGGAAACAGCCGGGAGACGATAATGCATACATCAACGGGAGGATTGGGAATCATAATGTGGTCGTGTGCTATATGCCAGGTATGGGGAAAGGAAATGCTGCCAGCGTGGCATCGGGTTTGAAAATCAGCTATAAAAGGATCAACCTGGCACTGGTGGTTGGCATCTGTGGAGGTGCACCATATCCGTTGTCTGGTGGAGAGATATTTCTAGGGGATGTCATAATAAGTGATTCTGTGGTTCAATACGACTTCGGCAGGCAATATTCTGGTGGGTTTGAAAAGAAGACTGGTGTGAAGGACTCGCTTGGAAGGCCGAATAAGGAAGTCCGAGCTCTACTGGCAGGTCTCCAGGCAAAACGCACTCGCAGGGACTTGCAAGCTAAGATGCTACGGCATCTACAAGCTATCCAGGAATCAGACCTTGACTGGCATCGCCCGAGGCCTGCTGATGATGTTTTGTTTGAAGCATCATATCAGCACAAGCATTACAGTCCTACTTCTCCTATGTGTTGTTGCCTTGATGGCAGGTCTCGAGATGTCTGCATAATCGCACTGGACACGGCCTGTATCCATTTAGGCTGTGATAAGAACCGAGTTTCCCGACATCGACGTGATACAGAAAACTGCAGCCCGAACATACACATCGGGACAGTCGCATCCGCTGATACTGTGATGAAGTCCGGTGAGCATCGTGACCGTCTGGTCAAGTCAGACAATGTGATTGGTTTCGAGATGGAGGGCGCAGGAGTATGGGACAATACTTCATGCATTATTATCAAAGGGGTGTGTGACTATGCAGATAGCCACAAGAACACAGCATGGCAAACCTATGCAGCAGCAACTGGAGCGGCGACTGCCAAAGCTTTCTTGGAGTATTGGGTACCCACTGTTCGAGAAGGTTAGCACACAAATCTGGGACAAGTATTTCTATGCTGAATGCTTACTCCTTCTTAGAGGCCAGTGAATTTCATATCCCATTAGACCTTTCAGCGGTTCCTGCGATTGAGGAGTTTATTGGACGAGAAGATGACGTCAACCGTCTATGGGACTATTTACAACCGAGAATTCCGCAGACACGAAAGGTTGCTGTCCTCCACGGACTTGGTGGGATAGGGAAAACCCAGCTGGCAATCCACTTCGCCCGGAAACATAAAGATGACTTCACCGCTGTCTTCTGGCTGAGCGGCAAAGATCGATCCGCGTTGATACTATCTTTGAGTACCTGCCTCCCTCGGATACAAGGACATCCCGTGAACAATGAGGCGAAAAATGAAGAAGAAGCAGAACAAAGAGCCAATCAAGTACTGCAGTGGCTAGCAGTGCCAGGTAATACCAAATGGCTTCTTATCTTTGACAATGTCGACCAATATGCTCCGTTCCCCGACTGCAACACTCGTGGATACGATATCTGTGAATTCTTTCCAAAAGCCGATCATGGATCTATAATAATCACTTCCCGGGTCCAGAGGCTTACTGAAGTGGGGAAACCATTTCCAATTAAGAAACTTACACAGGAAGATGCCACCCAGCTTCTGCTGCAGAGCAGCGGCTTCTCAGCCCAAGGAGCTGCGCAAGTTGAAGCTAAAGAAGGTATAATATCTTCAGATAAACTTTAGGACTAAGACTAACAGTTGTAGATATAATACCTAGTGTGGACCGGTTGGATGGGCTCTCTCTGGCAATTGTACTTGCTGGAGCCTTTATGCGTGAAACTGGAACCAGTTTCAAGGAATATCTAAAACTCTACAAAGAGACATGGTCTGATTTACAGTCTCAGGCCACGCCTACACGTCATTACTGGCAAGGCAATATCCTCGAAACATGGATGATCACATATCAAGAAATCCAAAAACGCGATCCAACTGCTGCAACACTGCTCCTCTTGCTCGCTTGCTTTGATAACCGAGATATTTGGTATGAACTGATTCGGGGTGGTTTGAACTGCTCTCACACGCCACCTTGGTTTGAGGCGGCAGTTTCAAACAAACTAGCCTTCAAGGCAAAGATCAAGGTGCTAGTTGGGTTTTCCCTCGTTGAGCCAAGACGACAGGAAGGAAGCTTTACTATCCATCCGGTGGTACAGGACTGGTGTTTCCATATTGCTGCTTCAGAGAAACAAACAGTTCAGCTATATGAATTGGCACTGGTCTCTGTTGGTTATACAGTCTCAAGCAAGAATGACAGGGAGTATGCAAGGCTTCAGCAGCGTTTACTTCCACATGCAAACCATGTGATCAAGAGGGAGAAATACAGTTGGCCTGACGATAAAGTCGCTGTGTGGGGATCATTCAGTGGGTTGGGAAATCTCTACTCTGATCAGGGCAAGCTGAAGGAGGCAGAGGAGATGTACCAGCAAGCATTAGCAGGCTATGAGAAGGCACTGGGTCTAGATCACCCATCTACCCTGGACATAGTCAATAATCTTGGGAATCTCTACTCTGATCAGGGTAAGCTAAAGGAGGCAGAAGAGATGTACCAGCAAGCACTGGCAGGCAAAAAGAAGGTACTTACTCTAGATCACCCATCTACCCTGAAAACAGTTGCCAATCTTGGGACTCTCTACTCTGCTCAGGGCAAGCTGAAGGAAGTAGAGGAGATGTACCAGCAAGCACTGGCAGGCTATGAGAAGGCACTAGGTCTAGATCACCTATCTACTCTTGATATAGTTAACAATCTTGGGGCTCTCTACTATACCCAGGGCAAGCTGATGGAGGCAGAGGAGATGTATCAGCGAGCACTGGCAGGCTATGAGAAGGTACTAGGTCTAGATCACCCATCTACTCTTGATATAGTTAACAATCTTGGGGCTCTCTACTATACCCAGGGCAAGCTGATGGAGGCAGAGGAGATGTATCAGCGAGCACTGGCAGGCCATGAGAAGGCACTGGGTATAGATTCCCTATCTACCCTGGGTACAGTCAACAATCTTGGGGCTCTCTACAGGAGTCAAGGCAAGCTAAGGGAGGCAGAGTATATGTATCAGCAAGCATTAGCAGGCAAAGAGAAGGCAGTGGGTCTAGGTTCCCTATCCACCCTGGGTACAGTCAACAATCTTGGGGCTCTCTACTATACCCAGGGCAAGCTGAGGGAGGCAGAAGAGATGTATCAGCGAGCACTGGCAGGCTATGAGAAGGCACTGGGTCCAGATCATGCAAGAACATGCATGGTGGCTGATAATCTAGCTTCTCTCACTAGCCACAGTGCTGAACAAGAGATGCCTGATTCCATGCCCTCCATCCCCGTGGCAGCACAGGCACTAGCTGTCAGTACTCTCCAACGCTCTTTACCAGAAAGCCGACGGAAAAGGCATGTTTTCTCGAGAATTTTTCGCAGAAGATAGCTTTTATTTGTTTTTCTTTTATAAATTAGCATCATGCCCGGAATATGGATATTCTGCTACAGGTTCAGGGACTTTGTATTCTGCAGTGCATGAGGTTTATGCGTGATGAATGTATATAATTAGTAATGATAACCTTAACAATGTGTTGAGGGCTTCCCTTTCTGTCTCTAATTTCAAACATACTGGTGTAGGCTCCATGAAGTAGATTTAGTTACGATCCTAGCAGCATGATAGTGAATGGTTTGCGCAGTATGATGTGTGTTATATAAGCTATATTTCGCACAGGCAAAATTTATAGAGGCCCTTAGGTAAGTACATGCTGGTGGCTTAATGTTTTGCTCACGTTACAGTCTTGGACATGGACCAGGAATATGATAATCATAAGTTTGTTGGTGAAGGTGATAATGAGAGCAACTCTAAAAGCTGGATGTGAACTATTTGATTGGAAATGAGAAGGCGCAAGATGACTTTATTCTAAACCACTAGACAGCTGCTAATAGGGCCATAGTAGTGGACGTGGTCAATGTAGAGTAGAATGGGTCTGCTGACCCCCAGTGGCCCCGTCAGCAACATCCTCTGGGCCTGAAAGTCGTGCATTCTCACTGATCGTTCCGACCATGGCTGAACTTTCATTATCGCTCTCCGATGTTCAGTATGACTCTCCAAACAGAGTAATTTCAAAGGTAGTCTTCAAAGCCTGAAGAGAGTCTACATGGCGTTGATTGGACTGCTCTAGTCCACCTATAATGCCTCGTTGACGGTACAGCTCCGTGGACATCTGCGAAATATTGATATCCCTGTCTTGAGGAGTCAAAGCAGAAATATTGGATAATATCTTCAGCAAAGAATCACTCAAGGAGGACAGCGCGACCACCTGGGATTCTGAGCTCCCGGATTTCCTCCGCAAGTCCTCCAGCTCCTCCCGAAGCTCTCCAACCACATCTGCAGGACCAGCGCGCTGGACGGTTGATTCGAGACCACTGCAAGTTAGCTACCTTTTAATTCCAACTCCGCAGAGTGCTGACGTTCCCGCTCCAGATTGGCACGCTCCTCCCTTAGCCGAGACTCTATATGGGCGCGGTACTCTTGAGCGGCCTGATCACTGATGACAAGTTCCTTAATTATTTCATTGGTGAGAGTCTAGACAATCAGTTGAGATCAGAATTGAGAGCCCCAAAGGGCGGCTTACAGGGTCAGATGGCCCGAGGGGCTCGATTGGTTTGAAATGCCATTTCCAGTGGGTTTTGACTTCTGATCCATAGTGTCTATAGTCTAGTGTTTGGACTTATCTTCAACCTTGCCTGGCCTTAAATATATACCCGCGGAAGGGAAACTTCAGAATGGCAGGGAGCCTCAAGCGCGCCAGCGTCTGACAGTTCTTGATGCATGCATGCTTATCAAGCTTGTTAGCTATGGATTCATGCCAGAACTGTGAGAGCATTCATTGTGCTGGTCTGTAATGATTTTCAACTGAGACGAATGATTTACAGTCGATGAATAATTCTTCTGGAGTAAAACAGGTCAAGGGTCCCATACAAGTCATATGTGAGAGCCGGATATATATCATTATTATTCATTTCTGCACAGAAGGCTGATGATAATATTGACATACTACTTTTAATCTGACTTTCCAGGTTTATATCAGCTTACTCTTCATCATTAGTCTACCCCGCACCATCTTAGAGTCTGCGGTCTAATGCTTGAACGGCTCCTTCGCACGGGGGAAGTACCGGGGACTGGCCGGACAACTGGACGCATCCTTCACAGCATATATATCACCGCAGCCCCCGAATGATTGAATCAATGTCGTAGAGTCTGTAGCCTACCCTGGACCAGCAGAATGCATCTGATAGTGAACGCCCTCCGAATCCTAGCCCTCGCGGCTCTAACAACCCCATCGGCTGCAGGTCACTGCCCGCAAGATTCGCCTGCAGCCAGAACAAAAAAAGGAACACTCTGCGGCGTGCATCTACCTTCATTCTCCCAGAATGCCTTCCTGGGCATTCCATTCGCCCAGCCACCGCTCAACGACCTCCGACTACGGCACCCTGTGCCCTACAATAAGCGGTACAAAGCATACCCTGCAACAACACAGCCAGCCAACTGTCCCGGCTACGGCGGGTTCGAAGTCGGCATTGGCCCGTTGAGTGAGGACTGTCTCTATCTCAACGTTATTGTCCCGGACAATGTTCCCCCGCAGGAGTCGCTGCCCGTGCTAGTCTGGTGCGTTAGTCCCACTTGAGCCAGAATCAGTATTGACCGGTACAGGCTCTACGGCGGTGGCTTCACAGCCGGCGGCGTCGCCGACCCCAGATACAACATGTCGTATATCGTCCAGCAGTCCGCAGCAATCGGCAAGCCCATCATCGGCGTGAGCATCAACTACCGCGTCGCGGGGTGGGGGTTCCTCGCGTCGAGGGAGGTTCTCGCGGCGGGGGCGGCCAATATCGGATTGTATGACCAGCGGCTTGCGCTGCGGTGGATTCGCGAGAATATCGCTGGATTTGGCGGCGATGCGGAGAAGGTCGCTATCTGGGGCGAGAGTGCCGGGGCATTCAGCGTGGGGTATCATCTTGTGGCTTTTGATGGGGAGAATGATGGTCTGTTCCGCGCGGCAATCATGGACAGCGGGACGATGCTGGGGTCGGCGCTTCAGGATAAGGAGCTTATAGTGGCTGATGATGGGTTCCAGGCGATGTATGATAATGTTACGGAGACGGTGGGGTGTAAGGGTGCGGAGGATACGCTGGCGTGTTTGCGGACGGTGCCGTACGAGGTACTCTTTCAGGCGTTTGAGCCTCAGATCTATACGCCGATTATTGACGGGGAGTTTATCACGCGCAAGCCGAGCGAGATGCTTGCGCTGGGTAAGGTTGCAGACGTCGCTGTGCTGGTTGGAGCGAATACGGATGAAGGGACGGCGAGCTTTTGGGGTCCGAGGGGAACGCTGAATACCGCTGCTGATGTTGCTGCGTATATCCGCACGCTGAATGGCGGTGGATTGAGCGACGGGGATGTCGAGGAGCTGCTGGCACTTTATCCTGATGACCCTGCGCAGGGTTGTCCGTACGGCACTGGAGCCGAGCGATTCGCCAGTCAGGGCTGGATGTATAAGCGAGGGGCGGCCATCGCTGGCGACATATTCGTGCATGCTGGCCGGCGAGGGCTGGTCGAATACTATGCGCGGAAGAACAATGCCAGAGACAAGCATCGTCAGAAGCCGGTGTACAGTTATCGGTTCGACCAGCCGCCCTGGAATGGGATTCTGGAACTGATTGCGACGGTGCCGCCGGTTTACAGCACGCACTACGCAGAGCTCATCTTTGTGTTTAACAACCCGTCGCAGAATCTGTCTAACTATATCGGACCGTATCCTTCGTATCATCAGCTGTCCGAGTTCATGTCCCGGTCTTGGGCATCATTTGTTCATGATCTGGATCCGAACGGGCATGCGGTGAACGGTGCCCCATATTGGCCACGATATGAGCTATCGCAACCGCAGAATATCGTCTTCCGTACCGTGGACAAGTCCACTGGAAGTGGGAGCTATGTTGAAGAGGATACCTATAGAAAGGAACAGCTGAAGTGGTGGAATGCCCACTGGTCTACCTTGAGATGTTGATCTTTCATTGCATTCGTACGTCAAAACTCCACTAAACAAGCCAATCAATGAAAACAGGATGTTCAAGTCTCAAGATAATCGATCGCCATTTTACAATGTCCTAGTGGGCTAGCCTAGCTAAACCTGCTAAGCAACAGGCTAGTAAGACGCCATGAGCCCATGACGTTGCCTGCGCACGGGCAGAGAAAAGAGCCGATCTGCAGGGCGACAAGCGCCAGACGGAGCTGAATATCAGACACCCTAATAGATGTCTCCGTTTCCCTAGCACGTGGACTATTTCCAGGTTTTACTGGGTGATCTATCACGCATCTCTAGCGCAGAAGCTTGCGCGTCATACATTGCAACCCCATTGCCCACGGAGTACTTAAACCGTTACCCCATCCTATCTTCTACCAGTACATCACACCACATTCCATATTGAACAAAGATGACAATCCCAAAGTACGGCGTCTAGGTCGCCCACCCAACATGCTACACAGCCGAGGCCGAAAAACAAGACCCCAAGTCGCCGCATATCTACCTCTACTTCACCGACGACACCAGCACTAGCACCAGCAGCAAGCAGTACCAAGCCGCTATTAATGTCAAATCCACCGACAAGGACACCCGCCTCGTCTTCTGGCTGAACCGCGCCTTCTCCCATCCAATCACCCAGTCCTTATCCATCCTCGTTGGAGGCTTCACTCTCCTCAACAGCAAGACCCAGCTGCAAGGCCTGGAATGCATCCGCACCAAAGGCCTGCTCGACATAAACACAGGCAAAGTCCTCCCGCACGACATCCCCGGTCCAAACAACGAATCCTGGACTCCCTCGATCCGATCCTTTCGGCGGCGAATGCGCAAAAGGCAAGGATGTATGTATTCGGCTCGTCGTATGGGACCGGATTCCACGATGTGCATATGAACCAGGGGTTCTGCCGCAGTTCGAGAACGGGATGTATGACGACGGGGCATTGCTGTTCACGTTTGCAGATGGGCATTGGGAGGCGGTGTTTCTGGCGTTTGCGTCGCAGAGGATTCCGACGGATGATAAGGGGGAGGCGGAGGGGAGTATGGATTTGGCGGGATTCTGGAGGGTGATTCATAGTTGACTGTAGTAGTCACTTCCAGGAGATCATATGAGGCATTCTCCGTTGAATGTAATGGTGGGATCCAGTTGGCTGGAGGACTTGCGGCCGTGGTGGAGGGGGAGTCTCTAGTACTGATGCTTCCTCTGTGCCAATTGATTGCAATTTCATTTGCACAGAACCTGATGGTCAAATAGCTTGTGTGTATTTGAGCATTTAGTGCGCTCATCCATCTGCTGTGCGTTGGTTAACGACTTATCCTCTGTCAAGTCGTCAGGCTGGCTTCAGAGACTCCAACATCACAGCGACGGCCGGACCTGATACCCTTGCCGATCCCGCAGATCGAACTGGTAGAGATAGGAGAAACTGCAAAGCGCAGAGGTTTCAATAAGATAGACCTCTGCACTCAACCCGCCTGGGACGTCGAAACCTCAAACGTGCGATGCACACCAATCTTAGACAAAGACCGCATAGGCACCGAGGGCGACTTTCCATTCAGCTGCTCCGTGCTCTCAGTCATGAACTCCGACGCGCCGTTCCTCTCCGCTGAGATCGTGGTTCCATGACGGTCGTCCTTGGGGTTGCTCTTGGTCGGGTCGTAGGGGGACCGCGAGGTGTTGCTTTCGAGATCACCCAGGGGAAACTGGTGCTGGCGTCTCCTGCTCTGGAAACAAGAGGAGTCGAAGATGCGGTACGAAGATCCATTGCGACTGTGTAAAATGCGGAAGAGAGGGCGGACGGTGGCGAGACTGCCGGCTGTGATGGCGAGGCCGGTTTCGATGTTGGACCAGATTGCGATCTATATTGTTAGTATTCTGTATTCTTCCAGAATGACTGCCTGAAGCTCACCTGGACGGTTGCATCTGTATTCTGTCAGACATGGTCAAACGGGATGGTTTGAGGATGACTCACATAGGAAATCTTGATCGCGAATTGTTTGAACGAATGGAATCCGGATGATAATAGCCACGCTTGCTCTGACAAGCATTAATAATTGATACTCATGTAAAAGGTACAGTCGACTTACATGCATGCCATGCCCAGGAGACCCGCAACAGCAATCTTGGTCCGCTTGTTCATCTGCAGATTGCGCACAAGCAAGATAGGCAGCAGGCCCACAGTCAGGTCGAAAATCGCAGAAGACACGCTGAAAAGGTACAGCATGATGATGATCGCGTCCACGTATCCGCATTTGCCGGAGGTATCGCCGAGCATCCGGGTCCAGAAGTAGGACACCGGCGAGCATTGGATCATCATGTAGACGAAAAAAATGATGCCAACGATGACTGTGAGCGCGGTGACTGCGTACATGATCCGCCTGTGAGACGGACGAACCATGACACGCAGCAAGAAGACGGCGACGGATATCTTGCAGAGAATGGATGAGATGGCGTAGCCAATGTCGCAGAGGAACCAGTACTAGACACGTCAGCGAGGTCTCAGCCTGAGCCAGCCATTGAGGACAGTACAAACCTCCATAGCGCGTGCTCTTTGCTCTGGGGTCAAATCAACCAGATGCTTTCCTGTTCCCCAAAGAGAGCCTCCGATCATGCATCCGGAGAACATGACATAGAATAACTGAAGAGTCAGCGTTGCTTCACTGCAACTGTCAGCAGGGAGGATACCATAGAGAAGATCATGACCGTATCATCCCAGCCAAACGCCTTGACAATGCACAATCGCACATAGCATCGCAGGATGACCGCGATGCTGGCCACTGTCAGAAAAGCGGCCGCCACACCACGGACCGCGGCACTTTCGTCCACCATGACGCTACCGCAACACGATCAATCGAGATACAATAACTGCGCTAGACTCAAAGATTTGCGAGACGCGTGAGCGAACTGGAGCTACTGAGCATACTAAAGTCACTAGAGGGAAAGGCGCTTTTGAATCCTCCCGGACTCAAAGGTCCTCGGCCCTGGGAGAGAAGAATTAGGTTTTTGCCCGGATTCTGGCAATGCTCTCTGTGGAATATTTGACCCTCGTACCATGTTTGAACTGGACCATTTTTCGGGTCGCCACCAGTAGCCGTCTGTCTGGCTTGCGGGCTTTGCTCTTTGAGGGTTCTGTGGTGGGCCGTTCCATCACGTTCCATGGTTAAATCTCGATCTATCTTTTGTGACCGAGACAGCCCACTGACTACTCCGATCGAGATCCGCAATGTCCTGATCTTGACCACTCATAACACTCACGCTGTCTATATCCACGTGGCGAGGTCCTATAATCGAGTCTTAGTCACATCTTGGGTATAGCTGTAGCTGAACGGAGCTGACGTCCGAGCCACTCTTCCGCATTAGGAACCATATCCGTGGCCAATAGTGTTTTGACTTAGAAGCTTTGGGAATGCGAACCATGGATTGTGCGTCTTCACGGCTATGACAACCGGCTGTGTGAATTCTGCTTGTTTCCTGCTTGGAGTTGGCAGCTGGAGGCGATCACCACCCCGGGGTAGCGGAAGTAGATTTCACTCACGATCTATAGAGGCGATCAGGTCATGGTCCTTTTATTAGGTTTAAGGTGGACTACATTCGGCTAGGATTAATAGACACTGTACTAGCCCTCCATCAGATAAGATCATGAAGTACCCTTTCAAGGTGTACCAATAGAAGGCCTAGTTATCAGACAAGAACCCCATAGCACTCTTGGTCACTATCAAAGGCTTCTCTGCGACTTCGACAAGGAATGCATCATAGCGAACAGCGAACCCAGATACAAAGTCAAAATTAAAAAATCTTAATGAGCTCAAGGACCTTGGCCAGCAGATGATATATTTTTCAGCCCATCTTAACCAGCCACGGACGTGACTCTCGCACGCAATCCTCAAGCTCGGAGTACGAGACCTAAAAAGTGGACATGGCACTACGACACTCGGGGCTATAACCCCAAGAGGTTATCAGACTCTTCTTCCTCTTCCTCTGAACTGTGACCACCTCCGTCTTGAACAGCTAAATTTCCCTTCTCAGGAAATGCACTGACATAATCGGGTCCCGGCTACCTGATTGGCCTGTTCGGCTATGACATCAGAGCCATCCGCACTAGGCTCAATCGGGCCGTAGTTTGTATACAACCTCGACAAAAATAGAGCAGACATATCAAACAGACTGGTAGCAAAAACTGCTAGCGAGTAGTTTAGCGCTTACACATGCAATTGCTATTGTGGTTGATACGATGGCAGGAGGGGGAAGAGATATAAGGGGATCCCCCCCGCGAGTCTCGTTGTGTTGATGCCTCTTGAACAAGATAGAAACAGCAATTGATTCAGGTGAGTAAATGCTCTTGTATCTGCTCTATGCAAGATGCTAATGATAATGCAGTCAAAATGGCAGAACTCTCCAAAGAAGTAGTCATCCTTATTGTCATCGTCGGCTGCGTGGTTTGCGTCCTGATCGGCTACTCTATCCATTATATCTTCACGAACGGCTTCCAAGATGACCCGACGGAAAAGGAAATGACATACGAGCAGAAGGAGTATATGCGGGACTTGCGGTTGAAGAATATGGAGGTGCTGGCTAGGCAGGCTGGAGTGAAGGTCCCGAGGGATCCTTGATGAGTCGGTTGGGAAGACGTGTTATAATTGAGAACAGACCTGCTGGACAGGTTATCGTCTGATGCGTTTAGCGAGAAGGTTGTTATTATGTTGTCCAGATGTCATGAATGATAGTCATACACATCTGGCGGATTGACATGCATTATAGAGACATGTCAATAGTCAATCGGGACAATCTCATGGACCATTCGCCACGTATTTGTCTTCTCGTCCATTCGATTCCGAGAAAACTTCAAGTAGATCTGATCAGGACTCCGATTCCACTTGGAGATGTCCAGATCGCCCAATGGAAAAGGATCGTCTCGCGGCCGGAAAACACAGTAGCCGTGGATTCGAGACTCCTCCGGGATCACTGCCGCAGGGAGCGTGGATCTCTCACTCCCTGCGTATTGTCCTTCTGAAACGGTACGCGTCCGAGTTAACTCGTCGTACATAGTGCTTTCACATCCGGATTCTTCCAGTTTCATAAAAGCTTCCGCCAATGTTGCACCCGGCGGACACTTCCACAGCGCCTGCACTGGAGGTGCCTTTCTCAATAATTCCAAAGCTCTCCGGCGCAGCCACGGGTCACGGCATTTAATAGCTGTCAGAAACAACGAGAGACCAGCTCCCATTTCAAACGTGAATGGCGGTTGTCTGCCATCCGGGCCCACCGACGCTTCGAGATGTATAGCGGACTGTTCAACAATGAGCCGGAATTGGGGCATATAAGCGTCGTAGGCGGTCTCCAGCTGCTCGGTGCAAACGGCGGTAATAATTGATGCGGCAGCGTGGAAGGAAAGCAAGAGAGACGTCACGCTGCTAGGGAGTTGTGACGGATCAGACGAGTTGACTAAGTTGGTGTAGGCCCGGTGCCACTCTGCCAGCCGGTTCTGGATATCTTCTTGTTTGTTCTTGAATTCTGGGGGAATAGGGCCTCCGTGGCCCTTGCTCGCAAGATACCCCTCAACAGTGCGCTGGAAGATCATTCCCTCTGCGGCGAGAGCGGCCATTGCGAGACGGGCCGACCTGAGAGAGGGGAATGTGTTTCCGATAAGGCCGCGCATCTCGTCAAGTAGGCCACTCACAGGAACGCCTGAAATACTCAGCGCAATTGTGCCCAGTCGTAGGAAAATAGGGATGATCGTGTCTTCCAAAAGACCCGAGTCTGGACGAGAGCCCAACCTAGTCCCACCTGCCCGCAGCTCGAAGATGAGACTGACCCCCTGCTGGTACAGCCGTAGCGCCTCTTCCACTCGCCCCTGTAGCGTTTCTATGCAGATGAACAAGACGCAGCTAATCAATGCTATATTGATATCAACGCTCCCCCGGTCAATTTGCCTGCGCATAGTGGCCAGCGAGCGCGAGTACCAGAGCAAGGCATCACGATGGTTAGGACGCAAGGTCTGACCATTGTTGTCATTTTGCCTCAGCCAGACAGGATCGAAGCAGGGTTCTGAGTTCTCAAAGAGGGCGCTGATGGCGTTGACGGCGTCCCACACCGCAGGCTCACTCCGACATACCTGGGTGACAACGCCACCCCAAAAGTCGATGTCTAGCCTCCCAGCAATGAATGACGCAGCGCGCTGGAAATAATGGGCGAAGGCCCGTCGCTCCCTCCCTACACCACTCGGTACGAGCGAAAGCGGGCGGTCCAGGACCGGGACCATGCTAGATTCTGATGTCGAGGCATGACGCGATGGAGCTGGGCTACTGTATTCGCATTTGCGTCCTGTGCTGCTGCATCGGATACAGTTGGGCCTTTCCTCCCCGCACTTCACTTTACGGATTCTGGGATGGTCAGTGTCGGCTGAACAACAAGGGTCATCCTAGGAATCGCACTTGCAGGTCGTACATCCGTTCCGCGAGCGAATTGGCACGTAGGATGTCTTGGCTAAGCGGATCTTTCTGTCATTCATTGTCCCGTGCATCAGTCTTAAGCCATGGCTGATAGGGGGGATAATGACAAAAATGCCTGACTTAGCTGTGTTAAGAGAGAGAAGAACTAGAACAGATAGGGCTAGTGTTGTCTATTTTTATCCTCCTATTCTCGTTAATATTAAGCATCATTATTGCTTCATATAACTCATCAGTAGAAGCAGTTCTCTCTCTTCGGTAAGTTGTCGATGATGGCATTTGTCGTTTGAGTTTCCTTCATCTCTTCGATGTCCAGTTAGATGTATGGGACATCTTGGGTGACATCGTCGTGTTGTTCTCAAAGCTTACGGAGTACCCCACACTAGTGCCGCATATAAGTATAAAGCTGCAGATCCGGGGTAAGATGCTCAAGTCTGGAAGAGGATTTGTATGACTGCATGTAACTCCATCTAAGTAAACGTTACACCGCAGATACGAGTGGGGGTCATCTGCAACTCCCTTGATCGTTCACACGACAACCGCGAGAAAACAGTCATATCATCGTATCTCATAACCTTCAGTCATCACAAAAACCACCGGAACTCCCTCGCCTTAGGCCCATCCCTTAATCTCTCCGTCGGCACCTCCTGCGCCCGCAAACGCACCCCATCCCTCCGGTCCCTCCGCTTATTATCAAACCACATATAACACCCCAGCAGCGCAGCCAGACACGCCCCCGTGGCTCCAAACGCGGCAACCGTCACCAGCGCAGGCATGTATTTGGGCTTATCGCGCGCGCGGAACACATTACTACTGACCAGCCCCATGAGATTCGCCAACGGCACCCCGGTACTCGTCAGCAGCACGCGGCGGCCCTCATCCGCGACATTGTTGTTGTACCAGGTGCTCAGCAGGACGGAAGGCGCGGACGTGCCCCAGGTCATCATGAAGGTGGCGAAATAGGCGAGGCGGATCTGCGCCTGGACGTCGTCAATGGAGGCGTAGATGATGAAGCCGGTGAATGTTAAGAGGAACCCGAGGACGATGAACGGGGAGCGGAGGCGTACGGCGTCAGAGGAGAATGCCAGGATGAGGAGCATGACGGCGCCGGTGACGTTGGGGGCGACGGTGTAGAGATTTGTTTTGACGGTAGAGTAGCCCAGGCGCTGGACGATCTGCGGAAGAAAGAGCGCGACGCCCTGGATGGGGACGCCGAGGCAGATTTCGATGCACAGGAAGGCGTAGGTGGTGGGATGCTTGAAGATGACAAGGGCATCGCGGAATCGGAACTTGTCGTTGACGATGGCACTGGAGTCGACCTGGATACGGTGGAAGGCGAGGGCTTTCTCGTCTTCAGAGAGGAATTTTGCTTCAGCGACGCTGCGCGGGAGGTACCAGAAGGCGAAGATGGAGAAGAGCACGGTGGCACCGCCTTCGATGATAAAGAGGTAGCGCCAGTTGGGGATGGAGGAGCCCTCGATCTGGAAGACGCCAAAGGCGATCAGGCCCGAGAAGGCGTTGGCGATGTTGGAGGCGGCGTAGAAGATGGCCAGTCGGCGGGCGAGCTCGCCGCGTCGGTAGAATGTGGTCAGGTAGTAGATGACGAGTGGGAAGAAGGGGGCTTCACACATGCCCAGGAACCATCGAAGAGCGAAAATGCCCCCAAAGTTCTTGGTCGACGCCGACAGCAGGGTGAAAGAGCCAAAGCAGAACATGAGGATGGGCAGGACGCGGGCTGGACTGTAGCGTTTACCGAGCATCGCACCGGGAGGCGCGAAAATCACGTATGGGATAAAGAAGATGGATAGCAGCAGGTTGTATTCGTTGGGTTTGAAGTTGAGATCTATACGGTCATTATTCGATCTCTTGACGGGCAATGTGGACTTACCCTTGCTCATTCCATCTGTCTCTGCGTTTCCCAGATTTCCCTTGTCCAGCGCGTTGAAGAGATCTGATTAATCATTATTATGAATTCCATTGAGGCGGACAAGACTCACACATCACAGCAAGAACAGGAAGTAATCGCAGGTCAAACCGACGACACAGAGCCCGTTCAGCCTTGTGATCGACGACACGCACTACATCCTCCACCACTCCGGGCGCAGAGCCATAATTCTTCAGATTGTCACCGCTCTCATGAATAGACTCATTTGCTGTGGATGCTTTTGTATCGTCTCTAGTTGTGTCGGACATTATATTCGACGCCATGATCCTGTCGATGGTGACGAAGCTCAGGACAGATGCTGGAAGTTATAAACCACTCGACGGAAGGGATACACCGACTCTTTCGGGGGGTTATCAATCAAGGAAATGACATGCAAGGGCAGTCGGATATATATCTGCACGATTGAATCATCGCTTATCATTTTGCTGGCCCAAAGGCAGAGTATCATCAGCCGCGCGATGTTAAGATAAGCAGATAGCATGGTGACACGGATCCTTGAAGATGTAACCCCCACGCTATTTCTCCGCATTTTTCTCTGGAGAAATGATCAATCATTCGTTGGATAGCACCTGGATGAGGGGAAGATGGATGGTTGGACGAAAGCGGCGATCTTTTGTGAGATGAGGTTGCATCCGTGAGGAGAAGGTCCCTCTATAGCTGTAGCACTCGTCAGAGCTTTGAATTATAGATGTTGCCTTTGCTTTATCGCTCTGTCTTGCTATTTCTATGTTCTGATTAGTTAGCCCTTCCTGTATTAGCTAGATTCTGTTAACTATATATATTACTAAATTTCGCTGCCAAACGATGGACCATTGATCGGCCGCTTTTTCGACGGGTTGAAGCGACGCTGCTTTAGCTGTACGCCAGTAACAATTCAGATAATTGAGACGTATGCTCGAGATCCTGCAAGTATGTGCAGGAGTATACAACTTCGGAACGAAACCGCCTTAAGAGACCGAGAAACGACTGAGGCTAGATTAACTTATAGGGGAGTAGTGAAGATTTATACCATCTACTAGAGAATACAACAGGAGGAGCAGGAGGTGGAGTCATAGACCTAATTATCATCTGAGATATGTGATACTTTCTCTTAGTAGATTGACTGTCACAGTCCATTGCAGAGCTTCAATTAAACCCACCTTTTAGGACGATTTTTAGCACCTTGTAAGAAGGATCGGCACTAGAACCAGAAGATACTCTATCACAATGCTCTTCCTCTCTAAACACTGCAGCAGTACGGGTCGCAAGAGCACCTGACATCATTGAACTGATTCAGCAGTTAGGCTGGTTAGACAGCTAGCTTGATCTTTTACATGGCTCATAAGACTACAATAACTCACCTATGGTAGTGAGTCTTAGATTACTAGTATTAGATATTTCAAAGTTACTACTAAAGTCAAACTCTTCTTAGAATATTAGCTATAGGTCTCTTGTATTTTACGTCTGTCATGGCCAGTGCTGGTCTGTATATATACCAACCGCCCATACATGTCAGTCTAGCTTATCATCAGAGACACAAGAAGGACATTATTAAAAGTCGATGCCTGCCCATGGATTGATCTCGGATGCACTTGCTACTAGACACCACCAGTGAGCCTTTGATGACAGCTCTCCGCATCTATTAGAGTCATAACATAAAAGCTAACTATTCCTGACATAGGAGCTGGTAGAGTTTCTCAGTACACTGTGCATATGCACCGCAATTAGTACACGCATAGAGACAAAGTCGAGATTCTCGATGTGGCGCTATGGAAGCATATTGGTGCAGAAACATTGTTCCAGGATCCGCCGAGTGACTTTGGATGACTGCATGCCCTCGATCCCAAATGGGGATAGAGTTGAGTAACTGAACCGCTAAAATCAATTCCAACCCTCATTGAACTCCAGTGGTTCGGGTTCGGTCCGTAGCGGAGAGATTTGCGCGGATTTCGGTTTCCCTACCCCCAACCCGATTCGGATTCGGTGAGAACTATTGGTTACTGTTTTCTCAGTTTTGGTGACGATATTTCGCTGTGATTCCTAATTGTATGACTTCCTTAGATATTCTGATATCACTAGATGGCCAAGTATCTAGTCTATCAAGATATGGACTATCGATTCAAAATGCCTAGTGGTTGGTTAGAAAATGGTGGGGATACGACGCCTGTTACAAGTCCCCGGAGCATTCCGAATTGACCCACGCTCACCCTACAAGACTGCCCGGAGTGGTAGTACTTTCTCCGGCTTTCTCTGCTTTCTAAGCTGCTGTCGGTCCGCAAGTTTTTAGCCACCTTTTATTGAGCATCTTGAACCTGCGTTTCGAATCTCCCCTTCTACAGACTGGGCGATATATCTCGAATCAGCTCTGTTCTCACTCCGCTTGTTGAAGCCTTGAAATTCATTGTCGGTGTCCCATCTGATATACCATTCATTTCAACTGTGCCAACTTTGCAAAATGGCCCGTATCCTGATAACCGGTTCTACGGATGGCTTCGGCCTGGAGGCTGCCCGTCAACTGGTTCAGCGGAATCACACCGTCTATCTTCATGCGCGTAACCAAGAGCGCGCAGAGGATGCCAAGGCAAAATGCCCTGGCGCTGCTGGCGTGCTGATTGCAGACTTGACAAGCATGGCAGAGACGCGCAAACTGGCTGAGGAGGCAAACGCGATTGGTACCTTTGACGCCGTCATTCTTAACGCCGGATTGCTTTATGGCCCCTTCCGCAAGACCCCAGATACTGGCGTGCCGGCTATGGTCTTCGTCAATGTTATCGCACCCTATATTCTCTCTTGTCTCCTCAAGCAGCCCAAGCGTCTTATCTTTATTGCTTCCACTTTGCACAAGCAATCCAACACGAGCGTGAAGGATATTTTCTGGTTCGAGCGTGG